GAGGAAAAAATAGTGGCTTCGTGAAAAAAAAAATTATCTGACGCTATCTCGGGAAAAGTTGAAATATACGAGAACATATACTTTACACGACACATCCATTCTAATCCTCTCTGTCGTATTTGCATTTGCAGTTTTCCTTTTCCTGTTATGAGCCAAGGGCGGAAAGTTTGAATCACCCTGTACATAATGGTTTCATACTCACATAGGTCATCTTTTGATCAGAAAATCATTCCGGACATATAAGTATTATTCAGTGTTGCGCTTCAGCGCTACAGGGGCTAAGTTTTCCTCCCATAATTTTTTTATGCACTGTTATGCACATAAGAGCAGGGTACCTAATTTCAATCTTTCATTTGAGGAACTTGGTAGCACTTTTAATATTTGAGGGATCAAAAGTAAATACTGGCGTTTTTTCTCAAACGCTATAACAATAATGCTTCCGAAGCAATATGATAACCATAGGCTTTCATTATTTTCTTGCATATTTAATCAATTTTTCCACTCCTCAGGTGCATAATAGTTATTAATACACCAAGGTAGTGAAGAATATTAGTATTACCCAGGGACAGCAATACATTACAATCATTACATTTTTGTGGAACTGAGATATGAACCTATTGCTACTATGAAAGCACTTCTTTTCAATTAAAAAAAAAATCTAGTAGTAAATACCTATAACAGATTCAAATGCCATCAGAACAGTGAGTTCGGGTTATTATATCAGAGGTGGGTGGCTATGTCTTTATTGACTAGTGGTGATAAAATGACGAAAACTACCTTGGCAGTAAAATTACACTTCACGCCTCGGGAAGGAGTAAATAATGGTAGGTTTTATAGCTAGTGGTGGAAAAAATAGTATATATACCACGGGACTGATATTAGGATAATAAGGAATACGAACAAACTGAAAGAAGATCAGGAAGGAAAGAAATTTGTTTCATCATTCGTAGACCGATGACATTCGATATTCTCTGGTTCTTTCAATACGTGTATGAATGAAGGTAGGTGTACCAGATTTGTACCTGTTCAGTTTCTAAAATCAATGAATATGTTTTCCATTAAAATTTTTTGACTCATGATTTTGGTGAAAATAATCACTTATTCGAAGAGTAGGAGAAAATCCAATTCTCATTTGACCTTGAATAAGGAAAAAAATCGCCTACGGCACTCTCCTTATTTATTATATCACTCAATACTGAATGTAATCTTTTTTTTATTTTCGAAATCTATAGCCGGCCTACTCCGGTCGAGCTACCAACTTTTCGCATCGGGATCAAAAGTACTACAATTTTGGTTTCATCCAATTTCTCGAAATCCTTGTTCAATTCTGTTGAAAAAACGAGTGACACCTTGTTTTGAAGAATGTTTGAAAAAGGAAGAATACCATAAAAATATTAGGTACATTTTCACATTCACGTTTCCGGAGCGAATTTGCTTCCGTATTCAACATAAAAATGGAACATGTTTTAGTACGGCAGACGGTGCGGTCTATCGTTCAATAACCCAATCATGGGGTATAACTTAATTGAACATCAAGGACATTTTTTGTCATCATCATCCACATATATAATGAGAAATTACGACATCGCCCCATGGTCGAGAGATTTTCTACAGGGAAAAATGTACGAAGATCGCGTTTTTCAATATGTGTTTGAAAAATAGCAGTCTAACAATAATGGGGATGAAGCTAAAAAAACATATGAGGGCTCATTTTGTAGCCTGAAGTATAACCAATCGAATGGTGTATTGACAATTCATATTTTATCATCCGAATATATAAAAATTTCACCACTTTCAAAAACTATCCTATATAATTTTTCAATATTTCATTAATCTTCAACAAGCAAGAACTCGATTATTTTCCAAATGAACTACATCATATTTTCCCATCAAAAACTGCGTATTTTATGAGGAACATTTCATCTTGATCAATGGTATGGATATTCCTAACAGTTTTTGTTCTGCAATTAAATTTTTAGGACAGCGCACCACAGTCGAGGCGTTTCGTCGGAGCAAAAATGTAAAATCAATAAACCATTCTAAGCGTAACGATCGATGAAACTTTCACTCGTCGCGCGCTTAGACCGTATTCTTCATTAAAATATGCTCATTTTGTCGAAATGGAAGATATGTTGAGCAATTTATATTTAACTAGATATCTTCGAATGTATAGTTGATTGTCACAAATGCAAATTAGGCGGTTTTTACAAGAAATATCTTACAGAAAAGTAAACAATGTACATTTATTGATGGTCTTCGTCATCGGACTTTTCAATATTCTTACAATGAGCGTTACATTTACATTCAGTACAACAAAATACATCCTCTGTTTTGCAAATGCACTTCTGTGAGTTCTGTGTTGAACATGTATTTTCTGTACGCAGTAAATTCATACACCCAAATGGTCTACTGGTTAGCGCTGTGTGGCGCTGTCGACTTTCAGTCTGAAGGTCCATGGTTCGAATCGCTGTGAACTTGAACTTTTTTTTGCAACTTCTTTGTTTTTTCACTTCATTCTGGTTTTCCTTTTTCATAAAATATTTGAAGTCAAATAGGTTAGTGCGTTTAGGATAAACAGTCTCATTTTATTCAATTTTGTTGAAGAACTCAACTTTTGAAATATATTATTAATCAATGTGTTTCTACACTCCATTCGGTTTTCCTTCCACAAAAATATTGCAATCAGGGACAGGTTAGTTCGTTAAGGATAAATAGTTTCTGAGTTTTGCCTAAGTACTTCGAAGATGAGATATTACGGTCGGCGTGGTTTGTGCTAGCGTACAGTATATTTAGTAAAATCGCAACCAGGAGAGTAGTTGTTTTCTGTTGAATATACTGAGAAGGAATTGATGATTTCATCACATACCGAATGCGAATTCTCTATGTATTTCCTTATATCTAAATAAACAGGTGCGGAAAAGTATGACTTTCGGCATTTGTTAGGTAAACTACATTTTCGTCTAAACTCGACAATGCGAAGATCAATTATTGTTTTATTGATTGTTCTATCTCAGATTCACAGAGGCTGTTCAAAAAACTGCTTAGGAACTGGTGATGGGTTCAGTTTTGACGAGCGGATATGGTCAATATCATGGAAAATTAGTCTTCATGTTCTGAATGGTTGGAGATGACATTTCGAGAATTACACAGATTAATATTAGCTTTGAGTATTCACACTCAGTTTTCATTCGTAGGTTACCCGATTTCATCTTCGAATTTTGTCCGCCCTATATCCTATTTTTATCTGGTGGCGCCTATGGTCCAAGGTCACCTGATATAGATCAGAATCAGAATCAGATAGACAAGAACGTTTATTTAATAGCTTCCATAGTGAGTTTTACAAGAACGTTTATTCAATGGCTTCCATGTGTATGTATGTATATGTATAAGCATTTTTTCATCAATCCCTATCTACAGCACCGCACTAATTATCGTTAATAAAGAATTCTCGAAACTAAATTCCGTAGCTGAACTTCGATTTCAATCTAGTTTCGTATCACCTTCTTCCTTTTTCTAGAAATATGGGTACAAAATACAAAATGAATGAATTTGGGTATGACATAGATTCATATAAAGAACATCCAATATCTTGTATCTATAATCAAACTTTGAAAACTCCAAAGTTTGTTGTAAAAAAAATTGTAAAATTGTTTTATCCGTCATTTGGTTGCTCCCTTACGAGCAACCCTCAGAAGTCTTCGAAAGTCTTGTGCGAGCAAGGAATGACGGGGGCCTCACCTTTTAACGTGTGATCCCAAACACTTGTAACATGCCAAACACCTATTTCTCGTACCCTTCTCCCAACTGACTTCAAGGAATTGTAGTTTTTAAGAAAATACTTCAAATAAACACTTTCTTCTCCACATAGCAAAAAAGTTGGGTGACGTTCATATATTTCATATTGAAATGTGGTCATTCATCACTTCATATCATATGAACGATCTCATTCTCGAGTGTACAACAGCAATAGGAACATAAAAGCAGGTCGAACTGAAAGTGTACGTAGAATCCCCACATGACGTGAGAGCAGGCAACACTGTGACCGGCGTTCGCTCTGCGCGTGGCTGGTAGGCCTCTCTGCAGTCTGTCAATTTACGGTTCTGCTGCATTACATTCTGATGAATTCCGATTCTGCCAATGTACGGTTTTGATTTTTTACGGTTCTGCTGACGTACAGTTCCTATATTTCACGATTCTGTCGATGTACGGTTCTGAATTTTTACGATTCTGTTATTTTACGGATCTAACATTTTACTATTCTGCTGAATTACGGTTCTGATAGTTTACGATTCTATCACAATACAGTATATGACATTACAGTCTGATGAAGTGCATTCTGTCATTGTACGTTCTGATATAATATGATTCTGATGGAATACGGTCTGTTGCATTACGAGTCTGTCAATGTACGGTTTTAGCATTTTACGATTCTTTCAATTCACAGTTCTGATATTTTGAGATTCTGTGAATATGCTGTTCTGATTTTTTGCTATTCTGTCAATGTACGGTTCTGACATTTTACTATTCTGTCGATAAACGGTCTGTTGTATTTCGATTCTGACAAAGTACGGTCTGCTAATGTGCGGTCTGTCATTCTGCGATTCTGACGAATTACGGTCTGTGCTGTTATGATTCTGACAAAATATCATTCCGCTGTGATGTTGGTTTGTTAGTTTTCGATTCTGTATATTTGCGGATCTGCGATATTGCTATTATAGAAAAATACACATCTGCGCATTTGCAATCTGTTATTGTCTGGTATGCTCATGTATAGTATACAAAATACGGTTTGAGGAATTGCGGTTCTGTGCATCTACAGTAGAAATAAATACGATTCCTATAAAATATTGTTCTGTTTAGTTACTGGTTTGAAAATGTATATTCTGATGGATTACGGATCTGCGATTTTACATTCTGGTGATTTGTGTGTTCCCGAGGCGTTTAACATATCGATCTTCGATACTTCTCTTCCTAATTCATATTTCTTTTGTTTTACTCACCCAATAGGTTCCTTTCTCGTGAAAGATAGATTCCTGTTTGGTCTAGCATGTGAAACTGGAATCGTTGAGCCTTGAATTTTATCTGTCCATCCTGCAAAGTACCTCCAAGTTTCTATGCTCATCCCAACATGTGTTTTCAATGCTAATGTATAAACGGCTCCCGAGTCTATCGATTCGATGGTGGCTAATTCTTCTTTGTGTTGTTGCATCAAATCCGCAAGCCTTCAAGAAGAATACGAATGAATTATTATGGCACTTTGGGTGCTAGTCAGATTCTAGTCAGTTCATTTCATAAGAGGAAGACAATCGAAACATCAGGCACTCAGAGCGTTATGCCCAGACTATATAGTCCATGCACGAGAGTGCCTTTTCGCATCCAAAAAATTAATAGCTCAACCATCATCGATCTAAATGGAAAGGATACCTCTCGCCTACTAACTATAGCTTTTCCATTTAGATCGACAATGGCTCAACGACACACGTAATTTTTTTTTCACTTTTCGAGAAATGTGTGACGGTTTCGTGAAGTTTTCGTGACGTTTTTCAAACTTTTTGACATAACGATGCATGCGTGACGCTTTCGTGACGTTGTCTTGATGTTTCTTTAATTTTTTTCTGCGTTTTCCCGTTCTGTCAGAGGTACACTACTACGATGGTTTGTCTCATGATATTGTATTCAGAAATCATTCCAAAGAACGAATTGCGTAACTACATATATTATCTAATTATCTATATTGAGTGACAGTCTGAGTGTGTATCAATTAAGGCGGGCCTTTCGCGACAGCTTTCCGACCGAATATAGCCTATATATATATACTAGTTCAACAACTATTTCCAGGTGTCAGTGTGATGTCGAAATCGGAATAAAATAATTAAATTACAGCTTTCACAGCTATTGTAGAGTTCTTCGATTTCGTCTGTTACAGCAGGTCACCAATAGGTGGCACACAATTGAATGCAATCGTAGGTAATTGTATTATGTACGTGCAGTGTTGCCAGAGCTACTGCTCCACGGGCCTGCTGAACATGATTCCACTTTTCACTCCATTCAAGTCAACCAAATTCTCGCTACTCGCTACAATGAAAATTTATGTCATGAGTGATTTTTGAAACTGTCTTCACAAGTAGTCTTTCGAATATTTCTTTTCCTTTTTAATTTCATTTCCTACTAATATAACTTATCATTATTGGCGTCACCAGAAAAACTTCCAAGGATGGGGATCGAAATCATTGTTCAGGCGGGCAAAATAGTCTGTGTAATTCAGAAATAATGTGTGCAAGATTTTTTATCAAGTTCAGATGGCTATAAATAGAAATTTCGTGTTTTCTGTATAGGGTATATACGTAGACGATTGCCTAGTTTCAAATATCTTCATTCTTACGAATTCACACTGCTATTACTGATATAAGGGTTATATTGATATATACAGTGTGTAGAATGAAAGAAATCCTTGATTCAAATGTCATGTTCTCTAATTCAGACCTGCTTGCTGAAATACAAATTTCGATCATAATTGCACTTATGAAAAAAACAATTTTTTCGAAGTGAGAACTTCTAGGCGCGTTGAGCACTTTTTTGGGTGGAGAAAAACATTGGATTTCGCGTCATCGTCACGACCCGTCCCGTGTCCCGTTATCGCGAGGTCAATGAATAGCAATACATTTGAAGGGTGCAGTATCGCATCTCATCTCATATTATGTAGTATTTTGTAATTATGATTAGATTCTATTCTAAATTGGTATATGGAAGTTTTCGGGGTCGGAGATTATGATTCTTTCGTGAAAATTAGGACATTGAAGATGGCTGACGAGTTTTATAATAATTATGATCCCATTCTATTCAAAATTGGTGTCTGGGGGTTCTCGGCGTCGGAGATTATGATTCTTTCATCATGGCTCCACCACCATGGCGCACGAGTTTCGTAATTATGATTCTATGCCATTTGAAATTTGTATCTGGGGTTTTTTGGGGTCGGAGATTATGAATCCCGAAATGAAAAATTCAAGATGACGGATTCAATATGGCGGACGAGTTATATGTGATGATGATTCTAACCTATTCAAAATTTATATATAGGGGTGTTTGGGGTCGGAGATTATGATTATATCGTCAAAATTGGGAAATTCAGGATTGCAGATCCAATATAGCGGACAAGTTTTCTAATTTTATTATCCGATTCTATTCAAAAATTTTACTGGTGTTTCAGGGGTCGGATATTTTGAATCATTTGTCAAAATTAGGAGATTCAAGCGAACACCATCTCAAAAGTTTTTGTTAGTCTATCTTAGACAGCGAATGTTTTTAGGTAATAAAGTTTGTCGAGTTGATAAAAATTCTGTTTGATAGTGATAAAACAGTGTATAGTGTGAGTGTGATTATATCGTACCAAAGTTACCAGGATTCCCTGGTTTCGGTCTTCAACATAACGGTGAGAAATTGATTTGTCATCATATGCTTTCTATATCTCACAATCCATTTTGTTTTAATGGTCAACTTTTTTTAAATCATTCGAAAATCGAATTATTATGAAAAAAATATAAGAAAATTATGTTCATGCTGATATAAAACTCACAAAGTTATTGTATGAGGAATTTTAAAATGAAATATTTTTCTTGAACAACCTCTGTTTCTCCAAAACTAACAACATTTTCTATGAGAGATGTGAGGCTGCATCTTGATATCCTGATGTTTACTATTTCTAGCTCACACATTGACCATTTTCATGCTGATTTAAAACTTACAAAGTTATTGTATGAGGAATTTCAAAATAAAATATTTTCCTTGTACACCCTGTTTCTCCAAAACTAACAGCATTTTCTATGTGAGATGTGAGATGTGAGGCTGAATCTTCATATTCTTATGTTCTTATTACTAGCTCACACATTGACCATTTTGAATGAATAACCCTGTATATATTTCAAAGAAAATTTTAATATCACGGAATTCATTGAATTTCAAAAATCTTCCCCAAAGAAGATGTAAGTGGAATATGAAGTATCTACCTACGAAAATTCTCTAAAACATGAACTGGATGTTCGATAACGTCTCCAAATGTCTCGAAAAAAAAAAGCGGCTGCTATATTTTCAAATATTTCGTATGTGGCTGACTTTCCCGTTGCCTCGCCTTTCTGCCCATTCTTATGAATTTTTGCGACATATCATTTGCAGCAGCTTGCAACACTGGCTTTTCAATTATTGATTATATCCCGGTTAGTTTGAAGTTCATCTGAAGTTCATGCAATTCAAAGTGGCACGTGGGGAATGCGGAAAGACGGGGAATCACCGCGCGACCAATGAATATCCCCCCGGTTCGCCGCGGGAGGGAGAGAGACATAACGATTTCTCGCTCAGTTTTGTTTTGTTGCCGTGGCGGTATCGGTATTATCCTTTGTGAACATCGCCATATCAATGGATCCAAAATCTGATAACTGTACTCTGAGACGAATTTTTTTGCATGAGTTTTAGAGTGAAATAACCTGAACTTTTGACACAGATTAACAAAGCTTTTTGAAGTTTGTTCCACAACTGTGCCATTCCTATTATTTCCATCTATATGCTGACATAATTATCGATCTCATGAATAGAATTGAAGAAATTCTGCTGAATTTGTATGTTTAAATTTTCAGGTCTAGCTACTTATATAATTATAATTCAGTGACAAAATCTATGCCGTTTCAAACTACTCTATTTATTTTCTAGTTCTTTTTAGTTCGGTTCTCTATACCTCTTCATTTTTTCAAACTACTCTTTATTTTCTACTCACTTCTTTTTAGTACGGCTATCTATAAAAAGGTGTTTCATTAGTTTTTCAAACTAATATTTATTACAATAGCTGATACCCGGCAAACGTTGTTCTGCTATATACAATTATTTCCAGAAAATATTTTTTTAGTTAAATATTTATCAACATACTTTTATTCATTTGTTTTCTAATTCTTCTCCGACCCCGAAAACACCCAGATACAAATTTTGAATAGAATCGGATCATAACTACAGAACTCAGTTGCCATCCTCCATCTTCAATTTCCTTATTTTGATGAACAATCATAATCTCCCATCCCAAAATCCCCCATATACAAATTTGGAATGGAATCGGATTAAGTTACAAAACTCGTCAGCCATATTGAATCTGCCATCTTGGATTTCCAAATTTTGATAAAAGGATCATTATTTTCGACTCCGAAAACTCCCCGATACCAATTTTACATAGAATCTGATCATAATGATTAAAAAACTCTTCCACCATATTGGATCCACCATTTTGAATTTCCCCTTTTTGACAAATGATTCATAATTATCTACGACCTCTAAAACCTCCAGATACCAATTTTGAATAGAATCTGACCATAATTACAAAACTCGTCCGCCATATTGGATCCGCCATTTCGAATTTCCTAATTTTGATAAAAAATCATAATCCCTGACCTCGAAAACCCCCAGATACCAATTTTGAATGATATCTGACCAATCTGTTCTGTTCAGCACCAAAACATACGCTGATGCTCTTAGATTCCATCCAGAGAAGAGCCATTCGCCTGGTGGGTGACGCCACACTCACTCACTCTTTGACATCATTGGAACACCGTAGAAAGGTCGGCGACCTTTCACTTTTCTATCGATACTTCCACGGGAAATGGCTATCATCCCTCCACTAGCAATACCAGTCAGACGAAGTAGACAAGCCCAGTCAGCACATCCTCTCGTTGTCTACCTCGAAAGATGTCGAACAGCACTTTATCAAAACTCCTTCATCCATAGAACGGCTAGGCTCTGGAATTCAGTGCCCGAGGAAGTATTCCCAACAACAAATAATCTCCAGAAGTTCAAAAAAAAACTCCAATACCTACCTCCTGTCCCTTTCCTCCCTAGGAACGCACGATGTTCTTTGAACATTATAGGGATTTCCTTTCGTGCGCTCCAAGCGATAAAAAAAATAATTACAAAACTCGTCCGCCATATTGGATCCACCATTTTGAATTTCCTTATTTCGATGAAGAAATCATAATCTCCGACCTCGAAAACCCTCAGATACCAATTTTGGATGGAATCTGACCATAATTACAAAGCTCGTCCGCCATATTGGATCCGCCATCTTGAATTTCCAAAATTTGACTAAATATTCATAATCTCCGACCCCGAAAACCCCTGAGTACCAATTTTGAATGAAATCGGATAACTATACTCGGTCGCCATATTGGATCCGCCATTTTGTATTTTCTATTTAAAAAATAGATTACGACCGATTCTCATGCCTACCGAATACGCACAAAAAATTTCATACGAATCGGTCGAGCCGTTTCGGAGGAGTTCGACCACTATGACCGTGACCGTGACAGGAGAGTTTTATATATTAGATTTGTTCGTCTTACAAACACTCGGAGAACCTCCCCTTGAAATATGCCCAGATAATTGAATAATACCCTCTGTATTATCACGTCGCCTAGATTTCATAATATGTCCGGATAATATGTATAACATTGGCAACGGTGTAAACGGGTTTGAATTCATCATCTCTCCTAAGCGCCATCTGCTTGCAATATAATGCACCATTCCTCTCTGCCGCAGTCTGTCATTTCGAACACTGCCATCTATCAGGTAGTGCCTGAACTACCACATCCTAGTTTCCTGCATTATATTCTTTCAAGAAATGGAGTTTACCGAGATCAGCTGGGATGAATGGATATTTTGTTGACAGAATAATCGTTTTTGTTGCTTCCTGTTCGAATGGAACCATTTCAAGAGCTGATATTTCAGTGACACCTCGCCGAATTTCCAACAATTGTACTGAGATCGAAAATATTTCAATTTGAGACAAAAAAATTTCAATGTTTACGTTTTTCAAAAATCTGTATCTTCTATAAATAAATGAGTTTCGACTCCGTATGATAACCAGGCCCTAGTCCCAACCTTCTTCTTTACGATGATTTAATCAGTTTTTCAATTGAATCATTCATAAGCCCAAATAGCAACAACTAGTGCAGGCCTGCATGTCGATTTGGTTGAATCTCTCCTCTTAATATCGAAAAGTAATCTACTTTTTGAACTAGAAATAATACTCAACTTCTCTATTGATCATGAGTTCAACCTGAATATAATTACTTCTTTGTTATTTGAGTTCACATAAGAGCATGGTTACTATAGATATTAAGGTACCCATACTTACCAATAATTATTTTTCCTCAAAACATTACTATTCAATAAAGTTCAAAGGAATTACTGATGAAGTGGAGTTTGTCCTCCAATTACGACAATTGCCTTAGTAGGCAAATAGAGCTCTAGCAGCGATAATGAAATTGAAATCAACTCAAAATAGTAGATTGTTTTATTAGGATCAAAAGTGACACTTTGTTTGACAAGCGAATTTTGCATTTGCGAGGCGGAGCGTTTAGCGAAGCCGAGCGAAAGCAAAATTTGCGAGTCGAACAAAGTCACTTTTGATCCGAATGAAACATGCTATTTTTTCTGCAACCGAAACAATTAACTCAAATAAATATGTGAAGTTACCACCAATGCCGTGCCATATGTATGCAATGCAACAAATATTGACAAATAATCCGTGTAGTGAGAACATTCTACCTGCATCAACAGCAGGTTCATTCAATTTTCAAGGATGTTCGAATTGTAGTTTCAATATAAGTACAATCAAAGAGTGACATATTTGTGTATGGACCAGGTGCTCTAATAGCAAATACCGCGCCAGCAGGAACAAGACGTGGAAAATGTTAGGTTAATGGTTAATGAGCATATCAACAATGATAATGGCGATTATTTACTCCTCTCTATGATGCAATATTTTTCACTTAATAATCAAATGAAGCTAAACAATATCGTTGTTTGAGACGAAAAACTATTGCTTGCCGTGATTATTCAAAAACAAGTTATCCATCCCGAGAATAACGAATGTAGTACAGATCAAGCAAGTATTTGAATCTTGAAGGCTTCCCTGATCAAACAAAAATACTTAGCTGAGATGTTTATAATTCCAATACTAAACTATAATGAGGTGTATTTATATCTCCAGCATGGGTATGAAATTCCAAATCTGCTGAAATCGGAAACAAATCAGGTATGCGTCTCAACCCCGATAACCAATCGTCACAATGTTGTTCATTCTTGATGACGTCCAGTACTTCCTTTTTAGTTCCTAGGAGCTAAAGTTCAACTTTAGCTCCTAGGAACTAAAATTCAACTTTAGCTCCTAGGAACTAAATATGTTGCCTAGCAACCTACCTATTTTTGTGTCAGTAATAGAAACGTCAATTTAAGAGCTAATTTTGGTATCAAAATGGACGACTTTTGTGTCGGTTGCAGAAAAAAGTAAATAACAGTTATTGTCGTGTTGAATTAACGTCAGTTTGAAATCTTCATGTTATTGTAGAACTTTTGTGCAGGAAGCAAATTTGTTGTGATCATTATACTTTCTACACTAGACTGAGAGAATTTTCGTTCAGTAGATTAAAACTATTGCATAACCACAGCAAAATATCTGCTTTAAGTAGGCACCAGAGCAATTTATTCGATAAACGAAATAGAATGGTTTTGCTGAGAGAACTCTTATAGATCGATATAGAATAATGCATTGTTCAAATAAACCTGTCTAGCACAAGTAGCGATATAGCTATTATATTGGACTTATTCAGTCGGATTTTCAACTGATCACAGAAAATTCACTTTGTTCCTGCAAATATATATTGTCGAATAGCTGCTAAAAATTAATTTGGAGTATTCTAGATAGATTATTTTATGGTCATTAATAGGTTTTCGAACAGCTTTATTAGGGTCGTGTGTACGTGGGTCGCTCTGTTCTTGAAGAAAAACTTTGTTTGAACCAGTCGACGCTCAACGTAATCATTGAAAAACCCTTATAGCTATAGGAGTGTGAATGAAAATCATAATCAACAATCATGGATTGAAAAAGTATAGTTTTTTTTCGAAACAGAGAGTTCTTCCAACCATCCTGTACAGGCTGTTTCGAATTGATTGCTCGCATTTAGGTATCTTAGCTGATGATAGTCGCACTCGAAAAACGAACTACACATCCCCGTCATCTTATTTTTGAAAACACTTCAATAGCAACTATACCAATGAGTTTCATACATTTTCATTCATTTCAGCGTCACAACAGACTTCTCAAGCCACTGCAAATCGGACAAAAATTTGAAAGTAGGCTATAACGCCGAAACAAATGACAAAATTTGACAAATTTAATTGTATCTATATATCTTCATCTAAAGAATGATGTGGCGGTATATGTATTTATTGTTATCATATAGCGCGGATATCGACAAAAGAGGTGTCTATCCTATGATTACAACCAATTTGAGATTACAGCCAATTTGAATCACCATATACAGCATCGAAACAGAAGTCAGGACTTCTCTACAGGCACTCAAATTTGAGGGAGAAGAATCGTAGATTCGCGGATTATTAATCAAGACAAAGGTCCTCGATCGCAAATCGCAAATTCCGAGTTTGAATTAACATCCGTCAGTCATGAATGATCGCATCAAGCTCTGTCTAGCCGAACAAGTATATCAAGTGCGCATGCGCTTCTCAATAAAACAAATTGGCTACCAATTGGGGATAAATAAGTAGGTTTGAATTCACAACTGCAAGGTTAATAAGTGAAGACATGATAATCCTAGACTGAATTGACGACTTATTCAAATCTATAGGTATAGGTTCTTAGCAAAGTCGACCTGTTTACGGTAGATGTATTTGTTTGGAATAAACAAGTCTCATTGAAATTAATTTATACAATGGAGGCCTTGTTGTATCGCTGGTAACGCTATGACAGATTTATCACTTTACTTTTACACAAACCTATATAAAAGTTGACCCCTTTCTCTGGCACTGATCTTGCTCCATTCTCCAATTTCAAATGCTGCTTTGGCAGCAGCGACAGCTTTATCTACATCATTTTTAGAGGCACATTGTACCTACAATCAAATTCTATTCACATAAAGTTTTCTATATGATATTGACAGTGCACTCACATCACAGATGAGCTCCTCTGTGGCTGGATTGATACTAGGTGTAGTTTTACCATTCTCAGCATCTACGAATTCGCCATTGATGAACAGCTGGCATGGGAATTTTATTTTCATGTTGTTCGTTTCCATTTCTATCGGTCTGTATTCGATTTGAATATCTCCTTTGCCACCACGACTTTTTTGAACGACATTCAAACAGAACTCTGCAAATGTGGGTGCCATAAAGACATCTTCATTTTCTAATTCCGTTTTGAATAGATCTTTAACTTCCTCCACCAATCTAGAACAAAATTGATTGACAAATTATATAGATGGTGTTGGAATTGAGCTACGACAGTATGTTGAACATATCCTATATTATAAATACTATACAGGCTGATCCACGGTGGATGGCCTATCAGAAGTATCTGGAGAACGAAAAGACAAAACATTCTGAAAATTGGGATGCTTTGATAATTGAACATTCTATATCCGTCTAAAATATTTTCATCGATACAGTGTTGCCACTTCTATCAGAAACAACTAGCAACTTCGTCATTATTATACTTTCATTTTCATAGATTGAATTATTATATCATTTACCTCACGACATCCATAGAACCTGCACCACTGGCGAAAAAATCAGTATCATCTTGGATTTCGATGCTCAAAATTGCTTCCCAAATGCTTCGGACAGCATCAATCGATTTAATTTCTTCTGATGTGTATTCTATATCAACTTGTTTTGTGACCAGATCCAATGTAGCAGCGTTTTTCATACGACCTAAACGAAAGGACGATCTCATTTCTGCAACTTGTCTCTAAATTTGTAACGACAAATAAATATAATTTTCAACAAAAATGTCACTGCGTTCAAAATTTTACTGTTAGGAGACTAGAAGTGGTTTCAAAAATGTTTAACGAAGAATAAAGTTATATTTTTGAAAAATATGAGTTTGTTTATATCTTTGGACGAATCGAGAACTGACAGGAGTCAATTATTTCATCAAAGGTAATACCACGAGTCCTTCCACTTTCAGTAAAAATCAGTAGAAACACGAGGGCTTTCTATCAGAAAACGAAAACTTGTTTATTCGACAAAAATATGAAGAAAAAAAAAACGATTCAGGTTGTTCGAATGGTTTTGTCATTATGTGAAAGTACCTCAAGTGAAACTATTTTGCCGGAAATATTCGAGAATTATTACGATAGCTTGTTGCCTAGTAATTTCGCGAATTGTTTTATTAAAACAATCGAGCCGTAGGCGAGAAGTTTTGGAACAATGTCATAATCGGAATTGAAGCAGCAACCTGGATTATGTCAATCGACAAATATTTCCAGGAGGAATATTTTCACGAGTTGTATGACTATTTCATGATTGAATCAGTCGATGAATGATCGAAAATATTGCTGTAATACAGGAGAAAGGTACTGTAAGAATGGTCGATAGAGTGGAATAGTCAGTATAATACCAAATGACTGGCTTTTTGACATGTGAAAAATAATCATTAAGTTCCCAAATACCCTTCATAGTCCAGTACGTGGGGGTTTTTTGAATGCTAAAGTTGGGGAAGTAGCGTTTTTTCAGAATGTTGTTAGGTTTAGGAAACTTATGAAAATTCCATCTTGTATTTTAGGTACAAACATTTTCTTCTTTGATAATATCTTAAAAACGATGGCTTCTACACTAAAACATGGCTCATACAAAGTTGAAGGAGATAAAATTTCCTAAATTTTTTTTGTTCAAAAATTTTCTCTAGGAAACATAGGTTAGGAGTTGCAGAAAAAAAAAAACAGAAACTCCATTTTGGTTGAGTTTCATTTCATCATTCTCATTATAGATCATTTTATTTTTATAGGTACAATTATGGAGCAAAAACCAAAAGGCACTATAATCGTTATGCGCATTCAGTGGAAAAAGGAAATTATTTCAAACATAGATTTCATATAATATAATAATTCCCTTCTTCCACTACATACGATATTTTGTTCGCGACGCAGTGTATTTAAAATAACACGATTGTTGCCTTTTTTTGGCTAGATCCATGTGGATATTTCCAAAGAACAAAATGGCTATGCTAGTTTAGTTTGGACCAAAATGATAATTATTCCCTTATTTTTCTAACCGATTCATTCATGACCCCCTACATCAATACCTACTAGACAGCAGCTGTGCTCTCGGGACAACCTAAATCAAAGTCTCTTCAATACTTTTTTATTTTCAGTAAGTGCAACTATGAATGTAATCAATTTTGTCCTCTTCAACTTTATGTTGAACATCTTTTGTCGTGGAAGCCATAGTTTTTGAACAAAATAACAAATGCTCATACAAAAAATCCAAGATGGTGGTTCGAGCGCATGCACCTCGATGTCGAAAACTTGGATTTATCATTAGTGACCCAAGCCTAACAACATACTGAAAAATCGCTACTACCCCACTTTTTGCATTTAAACATCCCTTTTCGATATATTCACTCACCATTCACCTTCACCCTCTTGATGTTAACATAATTTCCATCAGACCCTGTTAGCAAAAGACCTTCTTGATGAATTATTCCACTCCTAGTACCCTGAATCTCAATTTCCTTTCCAATAGGCAATGCAGAATGCCAAAGTGTCGATCCAAAAAGCAGTGTCTCCTGGAATTCATCGTTTCCAGGAAGCTTCATCAAGCAACTGGCCCCAGGAACGGAATCCATTCCACGGATGAAATCGTGTATATTTTTCGCCGATTTGGTCCAGTCAATCTTCAAACGAATGAAAAGATATATAGGGTGTTATTTAAGTATTTGGCCATACGTCAAGCGGCGATTTTTTGGACGAAAAGTGTACATAAACATAATTATTATAGCTCCGGAAATGCAAAGTCTGCAAGATGAGAACGCAATAAAAACATAAATACTCGTGGTGACGTCAATTGCCAAAACAATGAAAACACGTAGAATTGTAAAAGTTGTACGGTTCACTCTTGAGCTTCTAAATTATAAAGTTGTAGCTCAGAACAGTTTCATTCTGATATGTTCGGAAATGTAGAAATAGTGTGAACTGTGAAAGATAATCATGGCAATTCATACAAAATACGTTAGTACTTAGGTATGTCTTCGTAACTATATACTTTCAACATACTGTGGAATAGGGAAAGTTTACTGGAAACAGGTCCCTACAAGCAATAATAGAGTCGATTCGTCATCTGAAGATTGCAGAGTTTAAATTGTGTGCATAAACAAGCCGTACAAAGTTTGTATGGTCTAAACCTGCCTATGATGTTCCAGATTTCATTAAAAAGTAGTACAAATACACATTTGCGCGTTACTGACAAGGATAGTTTGAATTTTGACACTACTTTTCAAAGTCGATAGAAGATTAATCAAGGTTGCCAAGCCTGACTCACAATAGCCTATAACTCCTGTACGGCTTGTTTATGAACACCACTGTACGTAGATTGGTTGAGTTGTTATTGATTCAAAAGTGATAATTATTATTCTCGATTGGTATCACTGACCCTTGGTTGACTATTAGAGGTATTCTTAGAGGTTTTTGATGACTTCGATGAATTCTGCGTTGATAACTAACTAGTTTTAGTTTCGATGATGTGTTCTTGAGTCGTTAATATTGGTGTTTGAACATCAACGTAATCCATTTAATCTAGAATATACTGTATCAACCATATCTCAGTGTTTCTCTTTTGCATATCGCCGAATATCTAACCCGAAACCAAAATTTGAAAGTTGTTGTAGACCACTCCTATACGAATGAGCTGTTTGGGATAATTGATTTGCGGATGGGGTAAAACTGAATGACATAATTGACCAACGGAAGAATGTGTGCTCAAGGTAATGTGTATATTCTATATATGACTGAGTGATTGTCAATAATTATAATTCAAATAAGGTTATTGTATAATGCATTTTAGATCATGATGACTGATGATGTAGAATAAGAGCAACCTCAATAAACATCGATATAATGCTTGTACCTTTTGCAACTCAGGCTTATTCAGCATTGGATCATAGGTGGCACCTTTTTCGCTTTGTACGATTTTTGGAGCTGTGCCATTTGCTACCATATCGACAGCTCTGGCCACTGCCGAAACTCCCACAGGGTACAGAAATCGGTTGTATAGAGTATCTACTGTATCATTTTCATCGACATCGCATTCTTCTTGCAGAAGTATCGGACCAGTATCTAGACCATCGTCAGCCCAGAAGATAGTCAGACCAGCTTTCTGATCTCCACATATCAAAGTCCTAGAATAATCAGAATGTGAATATTAGAACTCATTATTTTCTTCTTCAGTCGTGTTATATGCTCAACATGAAGATGCCATTTCGTGCTCATGATAGTTCGCCGAAAGGACAAGTCGCTATTTTTTGTTGAAATCCAAATAGATTGGTGCACACCTTGCCAAAAGTGGTAATTATGCCGAAACATATAGAACTACGATGCATCACATTGCCGAAAGTGAGAATAGAATATATAAAAATATGGCGGGGAACTCAACTTTTGAGGACATTTTATCTATCCTACTGTTTCCAGATTCAAGTCGATCAAGTGTAACCACTCTCGTATTGTGGAGAAGAATGAACGTTTATTTTTTTAATGTAATACTCAATATTTATCATTTCATGGCCTCCTGTGATCAAAATCAGAAAACAACAGCATGCTTCATTTTATTACGAATATTCCATTTCCCATGTTGCGTACTAAGAATGAGTTTTTTTTATTTGTTTATCAACAGTTCACAAAATTTGTGCCATACTGTATGTTGATCGAATTATCAAGACAAACTATATTATTGTAGTATAATCAGGAGAACCACTTAAATTTATTGACCCACGTAGGTAGGTACTGAGTATTTTTATTATTTTGGTTTGCTTCAACGAGATCAGTTTGAAAAAAATGACATATTATCTTTAATATTTATGGCTTTTCAAATGGCGGTGGGTCAAGTCATAACGTATTCGGTATTCGAAAGGTAATACAATTCAATATTTTAGGACAATGTTGGTGCCAAGATTGATCCTGGTGGAAAGCCGGAAATGATGGCAATGGTATCAGACGATACTACGTCTACCACCACATGGGGTGATCTGCCTGAAAGAATACTTGATAAAAGATGGCATAGCTGAGGTGGTACGCCGTATGATAGTAGTTTGAAGATCAGTCCTTGGTATCAAATACGTCGAATGCCTTCGATATATCTAGCGCTGTGGCGTAACCATATATGAGTCACAAAACCTTCACATAACACACATGGTCTGAAGGACCTCTCGTGATGTCGATAGCTAGTTGGTATGTACATACATACCAACGACGTACATATACTTATGAACATGTAGTAAGCATGAGTTCTTGGTTTAGTCTCCACCTGTATGGTATTTTATCCAAAAATTTGTTGACTTCTTCATTCAGCTAAATGTCTTTTCACTTGTAGAAACTGATTATTTACATGTCTACTAGATGAATGAAAGCTCACCAGTTGATTGAACTGGCTCCTCTATGTCGGGGTAATAGAGACGGGTGGTAGCAGATACTTTTCATGCTGGGATAATTGATGACTTCCATCGGTATAAACTGTGAGCAGTAGGGCAGCACATTCAGATCTGCTCTCACACTATGGTACTGTTCTAGAACTTCTGGTAAAGGTTTTCCAGCTCTTCTCCATGCCTTGAACTTGAAGACTGGGATGTCACTTGCTTTAGCTGCCTTTGCTGAAATATGAATAAAGGGTGGAATATATTGACAACAAAATTTTTACTACTTTTGTATAGTCACATTGGAGGGATATTCTCTTCTCATACGTTGAAGCATAACCCTATTACTTCAGATAATTAAAGACTTCTTGAACATGTGACAAACAATAGAGAATTGAACAGTTTGAAAAATATCTACCTACATTGATCGTGATAGATCTCTATCACGATTTTATCAGTCCATATTGTTCTTTATCTCTTGGAGCGTACAAAAGGGAACCCCTATTATGTTCGAGGAAGATTGCGCATACTAAAGAAGGATAATGAGAGAAAGTAGGCTATGGAATTCTTCTTGAACACATGGAGATTGAAGTTCATGGGAATACTTCCTTTGACGAAGTATTCCAAAGCTTTACCGTTCTATGGATGAAGGAGTTTTGGTGAGATAGGCGAGTTTGATGACAAAAAAGAATTTTCTGACTGAGCTTGTTGAGAACGTCTGACTGGTATCGCTAGTGATGGATTGATAGCAGATATTTTTGAAGAACATTTCCCGCGGGAGTATCTATAGATAAATGGAAGGTCGCGGACTTTCCTAGGGTATTGCTCGTTCCTGGATGAAATCTAAGAGCATCAGCGTATGTTTGAGTGCTGAGCATCATAGTGAAGACCGAAAGTATTTCGCCTCCCATCGAAACTTCTTCATTCTACGTGTCACAAAAAATGTTGGAGGCATAAGTTGTAGGTTCCATTCTATATATTCTATAGTAAGAATTCATACAGAGTGTCTCAAAAAAGCGCAGCGACTCAGAAGTTTATTTATTTAAATAGGACACCTTGTATATCATAGCATTTTCAGATTTCACTTTGAATTTTGACCAAGTGGTGAGATAGAGTAGGCCCTGGCTCTGTGCTTTGTAGATCATGAAAAGCTGTGGAGGTATGTGAAGTAGCTTTCCGCTCGGAATTGAAATCCGAGATTCTGCCATGAGAGAGAATTGCTGATGAGAATACCGAGCACAGACATGGTGGACTTTGTGAGAATGGTAGTACCACACATTGTTATATCATCCATTTTGAGTTCTGCTTTTCTAGAGACACTACAGGCTTTAGTTATGGTGGCGTTGAATTCAACTAGGTTGTTTGTTCACCAATGTAAGTTTAGCTAGATATCTATCGAAAGCATTGACCTGTCTTGTATTTGTGTATCCAACGCCACAGCTAGAGATCTCCCATGTTTATGTAATGGATCTTGCTATTTATGATAATGATAATAATAATGAGTTAGCTCCAGTTGATCTCCGATGGCGTGAGCCATATCGTTCATTATCCACGATTTCTGATAGCTTCCCAGATGGTTGATCAGCTCAATGTTGATGGCTATCTCCATCACTTTGGAAATAACTGATGACAGAGCGATAATAAGCCTATAGTTATTGGACAGGTGTTTCTTTTGTTTTTGGGGGATTGGTTAGACTCTAGCTATTTTCCAACAGAATGAAAGAACACTCGGCTTGTACGAGTTCATTTAGAACCACCCTTATAGTTCCAAACTTTCTGATCTTCTTCAGCTTGATCTCCATCAAACTAAAACCGTTCTCTAAACAGTGAAATAAATCGGTAAAGATAGGATATTGCCAATTTATACAACATCTTTCACTGGTAATTCCTGGAGAATATCTCGAGAGATATTGTAGAGTCAGCCAATCTTCATTCATTTCTTAATTCTATTTAGGAGGCAATTCAGTTGCCGAAATATGTATTTTTATTTTTTTTTTAATTTTGATGTCCCTGATATTTTGGGTATATTCTGCATCTGATTATTTTACTACAGTCTCTATATTATATAATCGATGAAAATACACGGACCAGGAGAGCCCAGATGGAAACAAAGTAGGTAACGGCACAGTTTAAGGAATGGGTATTCCTTAAACTGTGGTAACGGGCCTGTCGCCAAGCCTGTTTTCTTCTGACTTGACATTTTTGGGTTTTGAGAAAGAATAGAACTACAAGAAACAAACACTTTGGAATTCATATCATTATTAATTATTTTCCAAGCGCGATAAACTATTTTATAATGAGATATGCTGTAATCATTTCAATTGGCATGACTGACCTAAGAGAAAGGTTATCTTTTTCTTTTTATGAATCAGAAGAGAAGGGGGTTTTTAGTTTATAGTTGATAATCTCTAACCCCAGTCATCAGATGATATGATGTGATAATAATGTAAATGACCATTTTGAATATTTGACCATCGAAAATAGGTACCAAGAGAGGCAATGTCCTAAAGACGCCTCGCGTACCATATAAATATGGTCAGATGCAAACTTGATTCAATCCAAACTATGTCAATTTTTGACAACAATCATGAAATTCCACAATTTGTATAATAAGAACATGTTAACTGTTCAACCTCAAAATGTTTCAAGATTTTTCAAAAAAATAACAAAACAAAAACCACTCACACAGAAAAAATTTCAAATGATAGAATCTGCAGTAAACTAACTTATATAATGATACAACTACTGTAAAAAAACATTTTCAATATTCGACCTTATTTCACTATAGGTATATCGCTGGTATGACAACAAAATATTGGAATAGTTACCTCAAGCAGAGATTTCAAGGAAGGCAATGTCTCACCTTCAGTATCCTCCAAACCATGTGAATTTGGTTAAGTTTGTAGAAGTTTATAATTTGTATGATATAAACATGAAAACTATATCATATACTATAAGTTTCCAAGATATAAGATATAGAAAAAAAATTCTGCGGTTATAACTAGTATCAGATAGCAATTTTTTCAGGTACACTATGACCTAAAAGATCTATTGTGCCCCCTTCTCTTGCTATAAACAATGAGGTTGTTCTCCGTTGCTATAGCAATTTCTCTTGTCCTATTTCCCTTCTTAAGATCTAATGAAATTATAAAAAAAAATAGGTCAGGAAAATTTTTTGAAATCAAATACTATTCTCATTGTTAGAGCACGTTAAAATTTCCTCAATGAATCTCCAGAATAATCCATATACAGGGGGGTGAATTAATAAGTGCGCACAAGGAAGTCATATTCTAGGAAATGAAGTTATCGATAGTTTTTTCATGACTCTGCTGTATAAGCTTTAATGTTGCTAAAATTTAGTCAATGAATGTCTTGAGAGCAATCACATACGATAATATTTTGAATCAAATCGATTTTTTTTTTGCTTTCTCAAAACCTCATAAGGAAGTCGTAAAATGAATTGTTCAATCTGATAAAGATATGGAAATCAGAAAAACATTGATATACCCAATTATACAGTGTCATTCATAAAGTTGGCATCATATATATGGGAGAACCTTTTAATGATGATTTATTTTGAAATTTGACTTGAACATTAAGTTTTGCTTTGAAAAATATGAAAAATGGACTATACTTGGTCAGAGTTATGTGACTCTTACTACATGTCAAAAGTTAAATTTTTTCAAATTAATCACTGAAAATAGGCTTATTTTTTCGAATTTCAGAAAAGTTTACAAAGAAAAGTTGTTTGAATTTCAATTTTACACATTTGTTTCAAATTTTAACGTTCTTTTGCAACTTTCAGTTCTTGATATTTTTTGATTTATTTTAATAGTACCTTCAACAAAATTGTCCTAAACTTTGGCAAGATATGTAAAGTAGTTTGGTGATATCTTGATAGATGACTTTGGCATCATGTTAGTACTAAAAACTTCAATTTGAGTGATTTTTGCTCCTCAATGATAGAAGATACAACAACTTTGCATCAAACATAACAGAAATTTGAATCGGGATTATTATTTTCTGAAGAAAATCATATTCCTGTGGATGATTGGTGAAAAATACTAGCATTATAAAGCTACTAGAATGAAATAATTTTGTCGGTGTTGATTTTGTTCAATATCACACACAATTCATAGAAATTGAAAGAATTAAAAAACGTCCAAATTTGAAAACATGTAAAATTCAACTAGAAACAACTTTTCTTGTTGAACTTCCTCGAAATTCACACAAATAAACCTATTTTCAGCGATTCATTTGAAAAAAATGTTACTTTTGACATGTAGTGAAAGTCACGTGACCCCGACCGAGTTAGTCCAGTTTTCATATTTTTCAAATCAAAACTTCATTTTTTTCTGAAGAAAATCATATTCCTATGGATGATTAGTGATTGAAAAATACTAGCATTATAAAACTACTAGAATGAAATAATTTTGTCGGTATTGATTCTGTTCAATATCACACACAATTCATAGAAATTGAAAGAAATAAAAAACGTTCAAATTTGAAAACATATGTAAAATTTGAATAGAAACAACTTTTGTTGTTGAACTTTCTCGAAATTCACACAAATAAGCCTATTTTCGGCGATTAATTTGAAAATATGTAACTTTTGACATGTAGTGAAAGTCACGTGACCCCGTCCGAGTAGTCCAGTTTTCATATTTTTCAAACCAAAACTTGACGCCCAAGTCGAATTTTGAAATAAATCAATAATAAAAGTTTTTCCCATATGATGCCGACTTAATGAATGACACTGTATACCTATGCAGTTTTATCATGAAATATGTCGAAATTTTTTCGCAATTATTCATTCACATCCATTACAAAAAAAATATATTGGCCCTTGCGCACTTTCCAAACCCAATAAGTTAAGGACGCTTTCACTCACCCAAAGGATCTTCTCTCGATCCCTTATCCAAAACTGTAAACACTCCTGCTATGGTGTGTCCATGTTGAACAAGCTTCTGCATTACATCTACTGCGAAGGCGCTTTGACCAATGATAGCAATTCTTAGGGGTTGTCCAGTAACCACACTTTTTTGCTGAAATCAAATGTTATTACCAAATGTTACTGATATTTCATTCAAAGAAATGCAGGCATATGTGAGCAGATTTAATATTTTTTGAGCAGTGAAACGAATTTAACGTTCATGCACAAGTGTATTCTGCGGGCGATAAGTAGCTCTAGGGCGTGAAAGTGTTGCAGCTGGCGTATAGGTAAGTATTCCAACAGATGTTAAATTGTGTGAACGGGCGTTGAAATAATTCTATTGTTACTTCTATATTATCTGATATATTTCCTCTACAGTGTCATCCTTGTTTTCCGGTTAATAATTTCAAATTCATCGATAACTTCCATATCAACTGTTAGCATCAAGCAACTAGATGCGCTATTGCTCAGTGAAATGTGCTTAAATCAGAGCCTATGACAGACGTGTGTGAAGACTGGTTCATATAGTATTCAACAGGCAGTCGAGTTGTGAGCAAGTGTAACCCTTGTACATGTCATTTGTGCTCGTGTTTATTGAATTATGACCATAATATAACATTAACAGTTAATGTTCATAACATTGTGTAGGGAATGTCGTATGCATCACAAGCATAGCTGGCATTTATGGACCTAGGCGAGTTAATAAACCTAGCTTCGCTTGGTCTATAAACTGATATTGTACGCCATTGATAGATATTTTATGAACAATTATGCATGATCAGGCGTTACGTTTTACTTTATCTCCCGGTTTTCAGAGAGCTTAAATCAACTCTTCAGTGCGCTCTAGGGCGTAAAAGTGTTACAGCGGGCGTTGAAGTAGTCCGAAGGGCGGTAAGGTAGGTGTACCTACTAATACGACACACATATATATTTCATTTTTTGATTTCATTTCTATATCTGATAAGATGACAGTATCCTACCATCAAGAACAATGAACTAAATTATCGAACTTCAACCTATTTCGTATCTTCAACAGAAAAATCAGGTTTATTTCTTTATAAAACAAGACTTGGGAGTTGCTTATAAAACTAATAACATGTTGGGATGATTATAATCAATAAAAATGAAATAAATATGAAATGAATTGGCTATATAAGATTTTTACAATGGAAGATAACCGTTATCCAAGACTGTGGTTTCGAAATCAAGTAAGTTAATACGCTCAACTGCACCATAATATAACTGGGGACTTCAAATTAAACATATTTTTACTGATAGCGGATCTCAAGAATTTTGGAATACTATGAATGGTCGAACTTTGATTCGATTATTTTTTCAACTCGGCTACGCCACGTTAAAAAAATCAGATCTCGATCACCAAAGTAGCATTTCGCGCTCTAGATACAAAAATCAATTCTTCTGTTGAATTTTCTGTATAAAAATGTGTCATTGAAGTACATCATGAGTATATAAAGTGTCCAATGACAAAATAAGAAGAGCAAGTACCTGTAAATGCACCCAACACAAGGGGAAAAAGGAGTCGTAATTTCGAACTTTTTTTGAAATATCTCGATAAATAGTGGTTTGTTCACATTATCATTGTCAAATTCGTGTTTTTCAGACAAAAATACGTAAGCATGCTAAATGCAGTTTTACCATAAGAATTTAGGGATCAAAATAAAATTTGAGGTTAGACCCCTTTTTCCACCCAAAGTTCTACACTGTAGCGAATCTGACGTCACATCTGTTGAAATTTCCATGCGGTAGACACAATAAGGTACTTGATTTTTTCTCGTATTTTGTTACATTTTTGGCATGAAATTTCTCGTTAAATAAAAGGATCAGAAGAAATTCAATATCATGAGAATATACCTTAGACTGTATCATATTAATGTGCTGAATATGTGCACTTATTGTTGAAAAGGAATATTCTCAGATAAATTATGAACATACAAAAAATGGATATATATTTATATAAAGCAATACATTGAGAATTCGCATTCTCTATGTGATGAGAATATTTACTCTTTTTCAGTTAATTCAATAGAAAACAACTACTTTCCTGGCTATATGCCACGACGAACATTGAATTATATCTATTGAACACACACGATAAGAGTTTGAAAATAAAATATAAAAAATTTCTGAAATTGAGAATTTGCATTCTCCTTCAGACAAAAATATGTATAAACACACATCATTCTGAATATTCAACAGAAAACAACTACTTTCCTGGCTATTTGCCACGTCGAAACATTGAATTATATCTGATGAACATTCAAAAGAGGAACATGAAAAATATAGAATAAAATCCTCCGAAATTGAGAATTGACATTCTTCTTCAAATCCGATGAATAATATGATGAATAATGATCTAGAAATATGACTTACCAATATATTCAGCATTGAAATGAAAATTGGAATGTATAGGAGAAGTATACTGGCATGAACTCTGATCTTGATGAGCTTGAAAACGTCCAAAAATAATCATTCATATCAGTGATATGGGAAATATTATCTCTCACACACAGGTTATATGACTTTATTGCAATGAAACCCATTTCGGATCTCTGAATCCTCATCAGTAACCATGATGTCCCACTTATTCTTACAGCCATTCTTCATTATATACACAGAATGGCTGTAAGAATAAGTGGACATCATGGTTACTGATGAGGATTCAGAGATCCGAAATGGGTTCATTGCAATAAAGTCATATAACCTGTGTGTGAGAGATAATATTTCCCATATCACTGATATGAATGATTATTTTTGGACGTTTTCAAGCTCATCAAGATCAGAGTTCATGCCAGTATACTTCTCCTATACATTCCAATTTTCATTTCAATGCTGAATATATTGGTAAGTCATATTTCTAGATCATTATTCATCATATTATTCATCCGATTTGAAGAAGAATGTCAATTCTCAATTTCGGAGGATTTTATTCTATATTTTTCATGTTCCCCTTTTGAATGTTCATCAGATATAATTCAATGTTCGACGTGGCAAATAGCCAGGAAAGTAGTTGTTTTCTGTTGAATATTCAGAATGATGTGTGTTTATACATATTTTTGTCTGAAGGAGAATGCAAATTCTCAATTTCAGAAATTTTTATATTTTATTTTCAAACTCTTATCGTGTGTGTTTCAATAGATATAATTCAATGTTCGTCGTGGCATATAGCCAGGAAAGTAGTTGTTTTCTATTGAATTAACTGAGAAAGAGTAAAATATTCTCATCACATAGAGAATGCGAATTCTCAATGTATTGCTTTATATAAATATATATCCATTTTTGTATGTTCATAATTTATCTGAGAATATTCCTTTTCAACACTTTCATACCCAATCAGGGGGTTCAAACTTGAACGATGGAAACTTGTGATTTTTATAGACCTCTAATCGCAGATTCGTGATAGAGTCTCAATTCAGAATTCATTTCCACGCCCTGTATGATGAATGTCAATTTATCATACACCCAAAAGGCATGTGCACTTATTTTAAAAACATCTTGTATATCAACTTTGATCAGCTAAGGGAAAAATACTATTATGTTCCTTACTTTCCATGCCATGATATAATTATCTAAATTGATCAAAACGTTCGTGACTTGAAACCAGGAGTGGTATCATGTCAATAATAGTAAGTATATAGGTATACATAATATATCAGAAAAGATGACATTGCATGTCCAAACAACCGTGAAGTTATGCTGAATATTGCATAACAGAAAATATGAAGAACTCCTTTTTTTGTCATCAGTATCCTTTATGCATGGATAAATCTGACCTTTCAGACAAACAAGGTTTGAAAAATCTATTATGAGACGTTTCGGTCATTGCGTGTAGTTACATGAATTATGAAGGAAGATATGAAACTTTTCAATAATAATGTAATATAGGTAATCTCAATTCAAAATATAGGAAAAATCTGGCGTAGCTAGCAGGAGAAGACTTTTTAAAACACATGTCGAGGCGTTTTAAAAATCGGTTTGGTTAGTGGTATAACAGTATCGTGCCCAAAGGTTCCAGTCTTCGATAATGATTCAATGATATGACATACATTTCATTGTTTCTGGAATTAAGACGTTGAAAATAATGATGGAGCTGTGACCAAGATTTCATTTCTGTTTTTTTTTTTTTTCTAATTTGCGAGTCAAACAAAGTCACTTTTGATCCGAATGAAACATGCTATTTTTTTTTGCAACCGAAACAATTTAGTCGAATAAATATGTGAAGTAACCCCACCAATGCAGTGCCATATGATTGTATGCAATGCAACAAATAATATGATTTTTAAGGTTGTTCGAATTGTAGTTTCAATATAAATACAACCACAGAGTGACACATTTGTGTATGGACCAGATGCTCTAATGGCGTAAATAGGTTGTTCGAATTGTAGTTTCAATATAAATACAACCACAGAGTGGCACATTTGTGTATGGACCAGATGCTCTAATGGCGCAAATACCGCGCCAGTCCCAGGTATAGGAACAAGACGTGGAAAATGTTAGGTTAGTGAGCATATCAACAATAAAAATAGCGATTATTTATTTCTCTCCATACTCCACTGTGTTTGGCTTGATAATCAAATGTTGGTCAACAATATCGTTGTTTGAGACAAAAAACTATTGCTGGTCGTGATTATTCAAAAACAAGTTATTCATCCCGAAAATATCGAATGAAATACATACCAAGCAAGTATGTGAATCTTGAAGGCTTTCCTGGTCGAAACTAAAATACTCAACTATATCCTCGATTATATACACTAGTGTGAATAATCAAAGACTATACTAAGGTGTATTTATATCTCCAGTATGGGTGTGAAATGCCAAATGTGTCGAAATCGGAAACAAATCAGGTATGCGTCCCAACCCAAATAACCAACCATAACAATGTTGTTTATTCTTGATGACCTCTAGTACATCCTTTCTAGTTCCTAAGAGCTAAAGTTCAACTTCAGCTCCTATAGGAACTAAAGTTCAACTTTAGCTCCTAGCAACATACCCATTTCTGTTTCAGTAATAGAAACGTCAATTCAAGAGCTGATTTTGTTATCAAAATGGAAGACTTTTGTGTCGGTTGCAGAAAAAATTATGTTTTGTATTCCTTTCAATCCA